CCAGTAATTTTGAATCTCCAAGAAAATTGTATCTTATGACTTTTTTGTATTTTACTTCTGGGATTTTTTTATTGCACTCATTATTCTCCCCCAATGTCAATCAAAGCCCCCGTTTGCAGCAAGGAGTTGGTAAGACCTGTTTTTACATTATAAAAGGCAGGTGAGATTCACTGCAGGGAGGAGGAAGGAGATTGGAGGTGGAGTCTCTGGTACAGAAACGTGGAATGGAGGTCTAAGCTGAGTTATTGGAACATGGAGGAGGAATGAAGGTGGAGTCATTGGAGCAGAAAAATAGAGGAGGTGTATGAGTCACTGAAATAGCAATGAAGGTAGAGGCAGGTAAGAAGAATATAATGGGATATTAAAGCAGAAGGAAGGAATGCAGACAGTGTTTGAGTCACTGGAGAAGCCAAGAAGAATGTAAGTGGAGTCTAAGTCAGTGAAGAAGAAGTGACATGGCATGAAGGTGAGTCACTGGCGCAGCTAAGAAAAATGGAAGTGGAGTCCAAGTCACTGAAGCAGGGAGGAAGAATGGAAGCGAGGGCCGAGTCACAGAAGCAGCTAAGAAGAATTGAGGTGTGAAGGCTGAGTCCCAGGAGCAGCAACAAGAAAGAAACTTGGTGGCTGAGTCACTGCTTAGTCACTGTAACAAGGACAAAGGATGAATGTGAATTGATGTGAAGGCTGTGTCATTTGCGTAGCTAAGAAGAATGAAGGGGGTGGCTGAATTATTGGAGGAGTCAGAAAAATAGAGAAGAAAGTTGAGTCACTTGATTATTTAAGAAGAATGGAGGAGATTCCTAAGTCCCTGAAGAAGCAAGGAAGCATGGGAGTGGAGGCTGAATCACTGGAACAGTGAGGAAAAATGAAAGTGGAGGTTGAAACACTTAAGTAACCAGGAAGAATGGTGGTGAAATATAAGTCATTGGAGCAGCAATGAAGATTGGAGGTGAAGGCTGAGTCACTGGGGCAGCAAGAAAGAATGGAGGTTGAATTAAAAGAGCGGCCAGGAATACTGATGGTGAGGGCTAAATCATTGCAGCAGCTAAGAGGCAGATTGAGGGTGGAGGTTGACACAGGCATACAACTTTTCCTTGACCCACATTCTTGTAGTTGGTTCTCAGAGAAAAAACACTCCTCTGGGGCATTGCAATAACATACAGAAATTGTTCTTTTTTGTTTGAACGCAAAGTAACATACACTATTGTGCTAAACGTATTGGGACGCCTACCTTTACACGCACATGAACTTTAATGGCATCCTAGTCTTAGTCCGTAGGGTTTTAATATTGAGTTGGCCCACCCTTTGCAGCTATAACAGCTTCAACTCTTCTGGGAAGGCTGTCCACAAGGTTTAGGAGTGTGTCTATGGGAATGTTTGACCATTCTTCCAGAAGTACATTTGTGTAGTCAGGCATTGATGTCGGACGAGGAGGACTGGCTCACATTCTCTGCTCTAATTCATCCCAAAGGTGTTCTATGGGGTTGAGGTCAGGACTCTGTGCAGGCCAGTCAAGTTCCTCTACCCAAAACGTGCTTATCCATGTCTTTATGAACCTTGTTTTGCGCACAGGTGCGTAGTTATGTTGGAACAGGAAGGGGCCATCCCCAAACTGTCCCCACAAAGTTGGGATCATGAAATTGTCCAAAATGTCTTGGTTTGCTGGTGCCTTAAGAGTTCCTTTCACTGGAACTAAGGGGTCAAGCCAAACCCCTGAAAACACAACCCCGCACCATAATCCCCCCTCCACTTAACTTTACACTTGGCACAATGCAGTCAGGTAAGTACCGTTCTCCTGGAAACCTCCAAACCCAGACACATCCATCAGATTGCCAGACAGAGAAGCGTGATTTGTCACTCCAGAGAACATGTCTCCACTGCTCTAGAGTCCAGTGGCTGCGTGCTTTACACCACTGCATCTGATGTTTTGCATTGCATCTGGTGATGTAAGGCTTGGATGCAGCTGCTCAGCCGTGGAAACCCATTCCATGAAGCTCTCTATGCACTGTTGTTGTGCTAATCTGAAGGCCACAGAAAGTTTGGAGGTCTTTAGCTATTGACTCTGCAGACGGTGACTTCTGCGCACTGTGCGTTTTAACATGCACTGACCCCCTCTGTCATTCTACGTGGCCTACCACTTCGTGGCTGAGTTTCTGTCATTTCTAGTTTCTTCCACTGTTATAATACCACTAACAGTTGACTGTGGAGTATTTAGTAGCAAGGAAATGTCATGGATGGACTTATTGCACAGGAGGCAACCTATCACGTACCATGCTTGAATTCACTGAGCTCCTGAGAGCGACCCATTCTTTCACAAATGTTTGTAGAAGCAGTCTGCATGCCTAGGTGCTTGATTGTATACACCTGTGGCCATGGAGGTGATTGTAACAACTGAATCCAATGATTTGGAGGGGTGTCCCAATACTTTTGGCAATATAGTGTATTTCTATGTTTTCTTTAGCCATTTCACATATATAGTATTTAGGAACCCTGCACTATGTGCGGCACAGGCACTTTTATACTAGATGCTAAAATTTGACTTCTAATGTGTCCTGATAACATTACCTATTATAGAAAAAATTGATGGTGGAGTGTTTATTGAAACTTGTAATAGAGTGTTTATTTAGACATGTAATTCAATTCAAATTCTGGTTTCCCTGGCAGAATATCATCAAAGCGCAGCAGTCGAGTTTAGTGGTAATATACTGGGAATATGAAGAAGTCATTATTTTCAGACACATCGTATTATAATAGCCTCTTGCTTATTTTCATGTCTGCACACATACAGCACATTAGAAATCCTCAGTGCCAGAACTGTAGTGCTAATAGTAAAATGCAAATGTGCCTATTATTGTAATCTTCCCACATTTGCAAACTACAGAATACGAGATAGTCGTGATTGCTTTGGGAGAACAAGTTGCTGTTATTTTTCTCTTGGTACCATTGTTTGACTTTGGTATACAGTTTATAAATCAAGGCCCTGAAAGCTTTTCAAACATAAGGGGGGCTAAGACCGGCTGGGCCTAATACAGAAACTTTTGAAAACTATTGTGCTTTCTGCATTAATAAATCCCTGATATTACAATATACAGAGAGTATAATTTTTCCAAAAAAACTCTACCTTATATCATTTAAGTGGATCTAAAGTCTAAACATTTTTCCCTAATGCATTCCTTGCATTAAAGTAGAACTATAGGCAAACTTTTTTTTTTATTTTGGTTAGAATAAGGGAGGGTTATATCTCCTGTAAGGTTTGTTTTTGCTATTATTTTCCTATTGTGGAGATTTAACTTCACTTCCTGTCCCATAGCCACATAGCCAATCTCTTTGGGACCCCCGGGCCACCAGAACTAGTGTCTTCATGGAAAGATTTCCCCTCTGTTACTTTTCTGGGGGACAACCCAAAATTTGGTATATTCTTTCAATGATAATGGTAAACAGGACAAATAAACAAAGTAAATCTCCCTAATGGGGGCACAAACAACAATAAAAACTAACAAGTGTTATAATCCATCTTCCACCTATCAAAAACTAAAAAAAAAGTTTTGCCTGTAGTTATACTTTAAGGTAAAAAATGTTTAGGTAGCAGTATGCCTCTCAATCCCCCCCCCCCCCCTTATACTTACCTGAGTCCTCACTTGATCCAGCTCTGTGCCCATCCGTAGTGGCTCACTCTTCCTCCCCGCTCTCACAGGCTTGGCTGAGAGCAGTGGAGATCATTAGCTCCCACTGCTGTCAGTCAAATCCTGTGACGAAGGAGCGGAGGCGGGTCCAAGATGCATTCGCACACTGATGGGATCACGCCCACAAGTGTGCCACAATAGCAAGCTGCTACCTATGGTGGCGCACCAAGAAGAGGAGGAGCCATTAGCACTGCAGAGGACACACACAAAGAGGAGGATCAGTGCAGCTAAGCAGGTTAATATAAACCTGTTTGTTATTTTAATAAAATAAAACATAGAGTTTACACTTTAAACATTTATTTGCCATGTGATATTTTGAAACAGCATTGGGACTCTGTGGTTCCTGCAGGTCCCGGCCACAGTAGTGCTGGAACTTGTTAGCACTGGCTGTTGTCTTGCGCTAAGCTTCTGGGCTCCCAGTTACACTACAGACCACTCCATAAATGCTCTTTGTATCAGGGACTGTAAATACTTTGATTCCACATTGTGTTTAGAGGCGAGGTAATTGACATTAATGCAAAATGAGCCAATCAGGAGTAAAAATTCCTGTAGACATCCTAGATACCAGTTGTGCAGAGAAGACCTCTAAGTAGCCATATTATAAGAAAGCTGCATTTTAATTTTTTGATGGTTGAAAAAAAAAATAGCATCTACAAACTGCAATACAAAAAGTAATTTTAGTATAAGTAAATTATGAAATAGCTAATATAGTTCTATCTTTCTGTACAATGTTATGATTTATCTTTTTTTTTTTTTGTTTGTTTGTTTGTTTAGCAAAAGTGAAGTTTTCTATTTCCTATACATTTTACCTTCACTTGATTTTTTATGCATTTTTCACCATTCCATAATTTCCACAGTCATGTATTTTCATCTCCCTACATTTTACTTTGTAATTAATTTCTATGGAGGTTAGAGACCCATGGTTAGCACATCCGCCTGGCAGTACTAGGGTTGTTGGTTTGAATCCCAACCACGGCATCACCTGCCTTGAGTTTGCATGTTCTCCCTGTGCCTGCATGGGTTTCCTCTGGGTACTCCGGTTTCCTCCCACACTCCGAAGACATGCTGGTAGGTTAATTGGCTCCTGTCTAAATTGTCCTTAGTGTGTGTATGTATGAATGTGAGGTAGGGGCCTTAGATTGTACACCCCTTGAGGGTTAGGGACTGATGTGAATGTACAATATATATATGTGTAAAGCGCTGCGTAAATGGACGGCGCTATATAAGTACCTGTAATAAATAATTGCATGGAAATGATGGCAGTGTGAATGAGCTTGTAGGCTTTTCCTATAGATGCAGTGTAATGAAACCAACAAAACTCTCCTGCTGCAAAGTTTACATTACATGAAAACGTATCTAAACTCAAAAATAGCAATGTAATATATTGCGGATTACCAGTCCTTAGATCAGTGTTTCTCAACCCTTTTTTTAGTCGAGGCACCCTTTAAAATTATGGACAGTCTCGAGGCACCCTTTAAAATTATGGACAGTCTCGAGGCACCCTTTAAAATTATGGACAGTCCTCGAGGCACCCTTTAAAATTATGGACAGTCCCGAGGCGCCCTTTAAAATTATGGACAGTCCCGAGGCGCCCTTTAAAATTATGGACAGTCCCGAGGCGCCCTTTTAAAATTATGGACAGTCCCGAGGCGCCCTTTAAAATTATGGACAATCCCGAGGCGCCCTTTAAAATTATGGACAGTGCCGAGGCGCCCTTTAAAATTATGGACAGTCCCGAGGCACCCTTTAAAATTATGGACAGTCCCGAGGCACCCTTTAAAAATTATGGACAGTCCCGAGGCGCCCTTTTAAAATTATGGACAGTCCCGAGGCACCCTTTAAAATTATGGACAGTCCCGAGGCACCCTTTAAAATTCTGGACAGTCCCGAGGCGCCCTTTAAAATTCTGGACAGTCCCGAGGCACCCTTTAAAATTATGGACAGTCCCGAGGCACCCTTTAAAATTATGGGCAGTCTTGAGGCACCCCATTCTAAACTGGGTGCCTCTAGACTGTCCATAATTTTAAAAGGGCGCCCCATTCTAAAATTTGAAAAACTATTTTGATAACACAGCAACATCCACACATATAGGATACCCAACGTTAGAGGTGATTTATTCTTCCAAAGCAAATACACTTTGGCACACTGGTACTGACTAGTATTCCAATGTTTCTCTTCTCCCTCAGTTTTTCTCCATCACTGAGCTTATGTGACCCCAGGACTGATGGAAAGGGGCAGGGGAGAGTCAAACTAGTCATTGGTTGTCAGGACGCTGACGGCTAGAAGGTCGCAATGGTGCACAATGAAAACCTGTGATTTTTTTGTGTACCTAAAAGGCAGGCTTGTTCCACCCTCTGCCCTGTATACAAGTTTTGGGCAATTTGTAGACATTTTGCCAAGGCACCCCTGAAGAAACCTAAAGGCACCCCAGGCTGCCTGGGCACCTTGGTTGAGAAAGGCTGCCTTAGATGTGGTGGCTGCATTAGTTTTCTTCTTTCAGGCCTTAATTTTCAACAGATGATTCTGTGAATAACACAAATCTGTCCCTGGTTGGCTATGCTCACTCCAGGAAGCCGTGGTTGTCACCCAGCGTTGATTTCAAAGATGTCTTCCTGTCTTTATCTCTGTTATATCAGGGGTGGGTGGTTATTAGTTTACAGAAGGGAAGTGTTAAATCTAAATTATGATTCGGCACTTATATTGATGGCAAGCTTGCAAAATATTTGGTTTTTATGATTAGTCATAATTAATATTAATATGTGTGAATGGTCTTTGCAAATGGTAGTATTTACTATTCTTCAATTATAGCTGAGACCAAAAGATATACAAGTTAAGCTGAGATAGTATAAACCAGTTGAAAGCTGAGTATACTATATTTAGGCATAGGAGTATCTGTTAGTTATGTCAAGGTTATTAGAAGTGACTTACTATTACATTACGTATTTTAATGGTATCTGTGTGTATTTAGTATACGTTTCTAACATTGATACATTTACGTCATTAGCTTATAATATTGGTACATCAGCATACATATGTTCCTGTCCATCAAAGACATTATGTGAGTGTCGTCCCCTCCCTTCTATGCCATACAAGGTATTAAGATGACACACTCATGCTGCATAAAGGGGGCCTTGAGGGACAGAGACTGACACTTACACGCTACATAACTCTTGCATACACACGTCTGAAAAGCTGCAACAGGTGCATACTGCTGCTAGATCATCATATCCGTCTACTTCCGGCTGCTTCTTCAACAAAGTCATTGAGTTGGACAAGGACATGAGAATCGCACATGGCAAGGACAGCCATGACAGATAATGGTGACTTTGTTTTAAACTTTCGCTTGTCATTTTTACAGTAGTTTTATCTACATGGAACTGTTCATAATACACTTTACATTGTTATTTTACACCATTGTGTGATAGAATAAAATCACACTTCATTTTTTATTTCAATGGCTCTTTCATTCATAATCGCCTCAAGACACTAGAAGAAGTATTATATGTGTCTAAAAATCCAACAGGAAGCAAGGCTAGTTTCGCTGTCGCCAGACCATTCATTTTAACAACTATGTTCCCATAACATTATATGCTGTTTTGCATGTTATTGACCTCTAAAAGCCTCCCTTTTGTAGATATCTACAATCTCTGAGGCTTCTGTTTTGGCTCCATCTATAAACCAAAAAAAAAACAAAAAACGTACAGTCAGGTCCATAAATATTGGGACATCGACACAATTCTAACATTTTTGGCTCTATATACCACCACAATGGATTTGAAATTAAACGAACAAGATGTGCTTTAACTGCAGACTGTCAGCTTTAATTTGAGGGTATTTACATCCAAATCAGGTGAACGGTGTAGGAATTACAACAGTTTGCATATGTGCCTCCCACTTGTTAAGAGACCAAAAGTAATGGGACAATTGGCTTCTCAGCTGTTCCATGGCCAGGTGTGTGTTATTCCCTCATTATCCCAATTACAATGAGCAGATAAAAGGTCCAGAGTTCATTTCAAGTGTGCTATTTGCATTTGGAATCTGTTGCTGTCAACTCTCAAGATGAGATCCAAAGAGCTGTCACTATCAGTGAAGCAAGCCATCATTAGGCTGAAAAAACAAAACAAACCCATCAGAGAGATAGCAAAAACATTAGGCGTGGCCAAAACAACTGTTTGGAACATTCTTAAAAAGAAGGAACGCACCGGTGAGCTCGGCAACACCCGAAAGACCACGGAAAACAACTGTGGTGGATGACCGAATAATTCTTAGTGAAGAAACACCCTTCACAACAGTTGGCCAGATCAAGAACACTCTCCAGGAGGAAGGTGTATGTGTGTCAAAGTCAACAATCAAGAGAAGACTTCACCAGAGTGAATACAGAGGGTTCACCACAAGATGTAAACCATTGGTGAGCCTCAAAAACAGGAAGGCCAGATTAGAGTTTGCCAAATGACATCTGAAAAAGCCTTCACAGTTCTGGAACAACATCCTATGGACAGATGAGACCAAGATCAACTTGTACCAGAGTGATGGGAAGAGAAGAGTATGGAGAAGGAAAGGAATTGCTCATGATCCTAAGCATACCACCTCATCAGTGAAGCATGGTGGTGGTAGTGTCATGGCGTGGGCATGTATGGCTGCCAATGGAACTGGCTCTCTTGTATTTATTGATGATGTGACTGCTGACAAAAGCAGCAGGATGAAATCTGAAGTGTTTCGGGGCAATATTATCTGCTCATATTCAGCCAAATGCTTCAGAACTCATTGGACGCCGCTTCACAGTGCAGATGGACAATGTCCCAAAGCATACTGCAAAAGCAACCAAAGAGTTTTTTTAAGGGAAAGAAGTGGAATGTTATGCAACGGTCAAGTCAATCACCTGACCTGAATCCGATTGAGCATGCATTTCACTTGCTGAAGACAAAACTGAAGGGAAAATGCCTCAAGAACAAGCAGGAATTGAAGACAGTTGCAGTAGAGGCCTGGCAGAGCACCACCAGGGATGAAACTCAGCGTCTGGTGATGTCTATGCGTTCCAGACTTCAGGCTGTAATTGACTGCAAATGATTTGCAACCAAGTATTAAAAAGTGAAAGTTTGATTTATGATTATTATTTTGTCCCATTACTTTTGGTCCCTTAACAAGTGGGAGGCACATATGCAAACTGTTGTAATTTCTACACCGTTCACCTGATTTGGATGTAAATACCCTCAAATTAAAGCTCACAGTCTGCAGTTAAAGCCCATCTTGTTCATTTCAAATCCTTTGTGGTGGTGTATAGAGCCAAAAATGTAAGAATTGTGTCGATGTCCCAATATTTATGGACCTGACTGTACATCAATGCAGGGAAAAAATACCTCAGTGCAAATCATGTTGATATTGCCCGTTGCAACGGTGTTGTGAATACAGCCTAATAGCGCTCTTATAGCTGTGTCTACACTATCCACAGTTGCTGCCTGTCCTGATCTATTCTCATCGGGGAATGTGTATGTGGCCAGCACTTCCTGAGTGGGAAACACAGACAGTGCTACTCTGACGAGTTGTCTGTGATGGCAGCTTTTCATGTAGTGGCCATTCCACATAATGAAACAAAATAATATAATAAAATGACATGATTTTAAAAAAAGTCTACATTCTTTAAGACTTTATTCCGCCAGTATTTTCATGGAAATATACTCCTCAATAGCCGTAAAGGAAATAAATCCACATTGGGAGTACCAAATTACTTTGCAAACCCAGTTATTACTTTGTAAAGGTAGCAGTGACATCATCACTGTGCATGTCCTGTGCAGAGAACAGAGCTGTGGGAGGGGCCCAGCAAGTCCACCCACTACAGGCTGCCTGCAGAAAACTACAGGAGGGGGCAGAGGCAAGACCAGTCTCCCTGCACAAGGACAGCGAGAGCAGAAGTGACCGGTCTTTATTAAAGGAAGCTCCTACACAGAGGAAGAGGTTTCACACTGCATTACTGCTCCAATCTGGAAGAAATGCGCAATGCACTCCAAAATTCAGGCCCTGTTTACACGAAGTAACTCTCGCTTCCACTCGCAACTTTGTTTAGGCAATTCATGTGACACGCATAGGGCAGTTGCATGGGCAACTCTACACACTTTTTTGCGACAGAGAAGCTCAAGGGCCAAATTTTGGCCCTGAGCTAGGTGGAATTTTAAATGTTTTGCCACGCAGCAATCACAACAAAATCAAACTGCATTTATTTATTGCGGCTTCATCAGGGGGAGATGATAATTTCCCCTTGATGAAACTCAGCCACGTGACCCGGTGGCGTAACGCGTAGGGAAGGGGCTTTGAGATCATGACGCTCGATGGTTCCATACTGACACCAGCTGGTTATACATAGAATTTCACCATTGCCAAAACTCAGGAGAAAATATTTTTGCACGATGCGCTTTCTGTACAGAGATCATGTGACTGTATTACTTTCTATCAATAAATGGTTTTTTAATGATAAAGCACTGTGATCTGGTTAATCTTTTAATATATCCACCGTGGGAGGAGAGCCAATTGATGAGTGAAAGGGATCCAATTCAGCAGGTCACCATCCCATCCAAATTTGGTCCAATCAAAGGGACACAGGCTTTATATGACCTCACTTAACGGTTTTGGGGTTGTTTTGGTCATATATTTGAGGTGAGAGCACAAGCAGTGGGGGTGCACATATTTAAAAGTAAATTAACATAAAAAAAGTAAGAAGCACTGGATTTATATATTTCAAGTGAACTTGTGTGCACGTCTTCCAAAACTTCTGTTTGCAAAACTTCTGAAGAATTATATATGGACATTTGTTTTCTGTTTTTTATAAATATATCCAGCCCCATATTAAACTATATATAACTATACAAAGGGAATATAACTGTATATATATGTTAATATATTTTTGCGTGAAGTTTGATACTATATTTCAGGAAAAAATATAAACAATTTCGGCCATGATATATATATATATATATATATTATATAACAGCAACGGGCAGCACAGTGGCTAAATGGTTAGCACTTCCGCCTGGCAGTACTAGGGTCGTTGGTTCGAA